CTGGGCATGGCCTTTGGAACCAAAACCCCATTTTCAAATGAGAATAAAACTGTAGAAGTGTTTTCTCGCAAGATGTGTAGCCCATATTTGCCAAACCAAGAGATTCAGATAAATTTTTGTAAGTACCCAAAGGTTTTCAACTAAACCTTTACAATCATATACTGTTTACACACTGTGCTACATAAAACTGTGCCTTACCTCAGGTATTTCTTCAGGGTTTCTCCTCCTACTGCTAGGATCTATAATAATCATTATTGTTAATCAAATCAAAATGAAAGGGGTACCTGTTATAATATTAAGTTGTCTAAATGTGAGGTCCATGTCTGGCAGGAACACACTGAACATTGAGCCAAAAGCAAATGAGGGAAGAGCATTCTTGGCTTCTGCTGGTAGCTGGGCACCAGAAGCAAGAAAAGATCCATTTACTACAAACAGTGATTACCAAAGATGGACATACCCTCCCCCACAATGGGGAGTCATATTGTGGGGTAATTTCCAACCTTTCTTTTGGTTGTTACAACCCAGTCCACCTGCATCACTTCTGCAGTTAGTTCTCATCCATGTCCCAGTTTTCACTTCACAGTGAGAAAGTTGGTGAACTGCAACATCTAATGAAACAGGCAGTTAGCAGGCAGATGGCACTGCATTCCAGTCTTACTATACTTTCTACTGGCCTGACATGTACATTAGACAGGAACTACCAGTGAAACAAACCTTTTAGTAAAACACGAGAGAGTTTTTGGGGTAGATTTGAAATTGTGCAGCTTCTGCCCTTTGGTCCCTCCAAAATAGAAAACAAAGCCCATATTTTCATAGATTTCATAGATTGTTAGGGTTGGAAAGGATTTTGATAGATCATTGAGTCCAACCCCCTGCCCTAGGCAGGAAAGAGCACTAGGGTCAGATAACCCCAGCCAGATGCTTGTCCAGTCTCCTCTTCAAGACCTCCAGGGTAGGGGAGAGCACCACCTCCCTTGGAAGCCCATTCCAGATTCTTGTAACCCTTACCGTGAAGAAGTTCTTCCTGATGTCCAATCAAAATCTGTTGTCTGTCAGTTTGTGGCCATTATTTCTAGTTACCCCAAGAGGCAACCTGGTAAACAGGGCATCTCCTATTCCTTGCTGCCCTTCCCACCCTCCCCCCCAATGAATTTGTAGACGGCCACAAGATCACCTCTCAGCCTTCTCTTACGGAGGCTGAAGAGATCCAGGTCCCTCAATCTCTCCTCATAGGGCCTTACCTGCAGGCCCCTAACCATATCAGTAGTCCTCCTCTGGACCCTCTCAAGGTTATCCACATCCTTTTTGAAGTGTGGCACCCAAAACAGTACTCCAGCTGCAGCCTTACCAATGTCGCATAGAGGAGAAATATTACCTCCTTAGACCTGTTTGTGATGCACCTTCTAATGCATGATAGTGTGTGGCTAGCTTTGCTTATCACTTCATCACATTGACAACTCATATTCATCTATGACTCCAAGATCCCTTTCTGCCACTGTGCTACTTAGAAGGTCATCTCCCAATCTGTATGTGTTGGTGATTCTTTCTCCCTAGGTGCAGCACTTTACATGTATCTTTGCTAAATTGCATCCTGTTCTGTTCTGCCCACTTTTCCAACCTGTCCAAATCTGTCTGAATCTGTTCTCTGCCCACCTTTGTATTTACTTTTCCCCATAATTTGGTGTCATCTGCAAATTTGGACAGAGTCCTCTCCACACCCTCATCCAAGTCACTGATTAAGATATTGAACAGTATTGGTCCAAGGACCAAACCTTGGGGGACCCCACTGCCCACATCTTTACAGGTCAATACTGACCATCCACCACCACTCTCTGTATGCATCCCACAAGCCAACTTGCCACCCACCTGACCATGTAATCATCTACATCACAGCCACTTAGTTTATTTATAAGAATGGGATGAAACACTGTATCAAAGGCCTTTTAAAATCCAGGTAGATGACATCTACCTCAAATCCTGCATCTAAGCATTTTATGACCTGGTCGTAAAAAGAAACAAGGTTAGTCAGGAAGGATCTACCTGCTATGAATCCATGCTGGTTGCACTTCAGCATTATTTTTCCTGCTGGATCCCACAAATATGAGCCTTAATAATTTTTTCAAAGTTTTTCCCAAGGATGGAGGTCAGACTAATCGGCCTATAGTTACCCAGATCCTCCTTCCCCCTTTCTTGAAAATAGGGACCATATTGGCCCTTTTCCAGTCATCTGGGACCTGTCCTGAGCACTACAAGTGCTCAAATAGTTTTGCCAGTGGTTCTGCTATGACACTGGCTAATTCCCTCAGCCCCCTTGGATGAAGATCATCTGGGCCTGCTGACTTAAACATGTCCAGCCCCTCCAAGTGTCCCTTCACTAGGTCAGCGCTAACTGTTGGTGGGCTGGTGTCCCTCTTGTGCCTGTCTATAATCCAACTGGGAGATATGTCTTTATCCATGTACCTCTTTTTTTGCTCCCAGGCTTTCCTGGATTTCCCTGTTCAACCAAGAGGGTTTCCTGGCCCCTGTGCCACCCTTTATATGCAATGGGATTGTTTGCTTCTGTGCCCGAAGGATCATTCCCTTGAGGAACGACCACTTTTTCTGGAATAATCAGAATAATCCCATTTTTTACTTTGAAAACATTTATGGGCACCTATACGCAAGTCGCACCTCTGCTCCAACATATGCTAACTAGCACATTGATTAATCGAGTCTGCTGTGGGTCTGCTAGAGCATGCTAATTAGCATACTCCAGCAGCCCCCTGTCATGTGTATTCAGTAGGGGTGTGCAAAACAGGCTGTATTCAATCCAGATTCAGACTCGGCCCAAATCAGGGACAGTGATTCAATTCGTTGATTCAGATCACTGTCCTGATTTGATTCAGCCAAATCTGAATCTGATGATTCAATGCTGATTCGGAGAATCAGCGATTCGGCCAGACATAGCTTTAAACATTTTTTCTACTTACCTCAAGGTACCAGGCATGGCTCGTGAATGCTGCAATGCTGGGGTGGATTGAGCATCTCACAGGAGCACAGGGGGCCCCCCCATGTGCTTGGCGGCGAACCTGGAAATGGACTGGAACTACTTCCAGTCCACTTCCAGGTCTGCCGGGGAACAAACTAGGGGGCCACCCCGCATCCCTCCAGCTCAGCAATTGGCCACGGGGGGACCCCGGGTGCCCCCCCAGACCCAGGAGGCACCAGTCACCAAGCCAGAGGGGGGGGGGCCTGTGTGCTCCCTGGCAGACCTGAAAGTGGACTGAAAGTACTTCTGGTCCACTTCCGGGTCTGCTGCCGAGTGCGCTGGGATCCTATGGGACTCTCCATCTGCCCCACCATCACAGCATTCACAAGGCGCCTGGTACCTTGAGGTATGTAGAAAAAACATTTAAATCTGTGTCTATGTCTGAATTGTTGAATCTTTCTGAATCTCTCTGAATCGATTCAGAGGGTTCTGATTAAAGGATCTCCCGATTCAATTTGGATTTGGGGATTCGGCCACCTAATCAGGCCGAATCTCTGCCAAATTGAATCAGTGACTGAAGCTTCACACAGCCCTAGTATTCAGCATCTCTGCGTTTCAAAATGGTGGTGAGGGTGCTTTAACTAAAGCTCGTTGAACAAGCTTTAGCTAAAGTGCCCCTGCCACCATTTTGAAGCATGGGATGCTGAATACACATGACACTGAGGGTTCTTTAATCAGAGCAGCTCTGAGAGCCACTCTAATTAAAGCCCTGGCCCTCCCTGCTCCCTGGAGCACATGTGTAGACACCCTACTTGTTTTGAAAGGCATATTCTCAAAAGGTATGTTTAATTCAATCTATAAAATAATGATATTTCTCTAATAATCTAAATGATTCACATTCTTGAATCACCTTCTGCATGAGGTTCACAAAATCCTTTACTGATTTCTATATGCAACTTTCCTGAAAATAAATAAGTAGTATATTTTTATGGCGAAAACAGAGGCACAGAGTTAGTACCAAAATTTTCAACTCTGTTCATCTAAACCAAGTCTAGGCATCTAAATAGATTAGATTAGATTAGATAGCTTAGTTAAAATATATGAGCCATAAAATCACCCTTCAAAAATTTGGTACAAATGATTTTCCAAAATCAGTCAGTGCCAGAACCCAGAAAAAAATTAGGAATCTTGAATCTCAGTCCCTGTTTTGTTCTTCCTAAACCCTGCAATAAGTCACTGAACATAGTATATAAACTGTCAAGATTTACTCGTGCCTGAACTGAGACCCATTGTGATCATACTGTTGAAACAAATGACCCTTTTCAGTCTTTGTTACCTTTACTCGTCATCTCATATCTAGACAGGGCAGGGCAGGACCAGATCCTTCTCTTTATTTGTGTGAGGAACCTATTACACCTTTGTGCACAATAAATAAGTAATAAATAATACAAAATAATAACAAATACAAACTTACTTTGCCTGGCCCAATTGACTTTGGTGAGTTTTGACTCAAACCCTGATTATTTATTTTGTTCACAGAGACCAGAGTCCCGCACTAAGATAGTCTATGAAGACACTGGATTTAAGTGAAGCAGGGTTGCATCCATAGACTATATGTTTCTTCTGGGGTTCAGTGTGCTGTCAGCTTTCAGCAAATAAAAGCAAATAATAATAGCCGTTACACAGACTGTTTTCTGGGTTTAAATAAGATACAGTGTGGCCCAGGGAAATTTAGCCGAGACAACAGATTTCAAAGGGAAAAAAAGAAGAAACAATCTTGGTATCATGGGTGATGTGATTTAAGATCAAGGTACATTCACAGGTCTGCAACATCAGCTGTTTTTGATTGATGTTGTGCAAGGTAACAGCTTTTTTAGCTTATCTTTGAATGCAGCATTTGAGACTTGGTTGCATAAGGCTCTCTTTATAGCCCGTGTTTCTCAATAATAATATTACCCAAGGGAGAAAACTTGTTTGAGAGCAAGTCATTCATGCTAGTTAGGGTGGAGTTTGCTGTTTCCGTTCTCCTTACCCAATGGTACCGTCAGCCAACCAGCCTCTGGCGCACACAGCAAAAGAACAGTCCAGTACAGCCCGCCTCAGTTCCTCTGCGGTGGCTAATCGAGCACCCAGGTCAGCACATGATTTCTGAGCTGCTGCTAGATCCAGACCCTGAGAGCTGTTCCTGGATCCAAGTGCAAACAACTTCCCTGCAGCACCAAAGACATACAACAACAATAAGATGTTTCACATCAAGACTTTTTATTAAATACATAGGCAGTAAATATATTGTGATGTGACAACTCATCCCATGAAAAAGTGAAACCTTCTTTCTTTTAGGAGCTCAGCTAACTTCAACAGAACACCTCATACCTGAAAATAGTAATGTGGGCCCTGATCCTCAAGGATATTTTGGTGCTTAACTTCTATTTCAGCACCTAAACCAATAGTAAATTACTATCTCCTTCCCCCACCCTATGGTTTAGTTACTTCAGTCAACAATCAATGAGGTGGGGCCATGCCATCACCCATTCCCAAACCATGTGAATGGTATCTCTTGCTCCTTCATGCATCGACTTGCGTAACTCTTGGAGCAAGCAGGGGTATTACTCACTTGTGTGTTTTTATAGTCAGAGTCAGAATCCCTTAAGAGCAGTATTGGAAAATATGGCTAAGAATCTGGGTATTTTACGGTCACATGTATAAAAACAATCAAATGTATAAACAGTACCATAGAAGTGCAACTATCTCTTTCATATCATTTACCAATTCAGGTCCAGACCATAATATGGAAGTCCAGATTTCATGTACTTTATGACAACCTAGACCTGAATTCCACAGCAAAGACCCATGGATTTCATATCATTTTAGATCTATAAACCATAAATTACACACCGCTTTCACATTAGTGTTTTAAAAATGGAATGGCTTTGTGAAATGAAATGTAACCATGAGAAATAGAATCAGCACAGTATTCCCTATGTTTTTTTTATTTCAAATTTGATTTATTTTACTATGTACTTAAATTTTCAATGCATTGTAGATTAGATTTTAGTTCTGACAATGCACAACTGTATTTTGGAGGCAGACAGGTGACAGCTGGAGATTTTGGAAGCTGGCAGAGAGCTATTGAGGTTTTGGTAGCAAAGACTGATCAAGAAATTATTGAGTTGTTCAGTAAGTATATTAAGTACTTCTTCAAAAAAAAAAGATAAGCCTTGAAATAGTTAAGAAAGCTAACGTTTAATTTATCATTGTTATGTTTTGAAGATGCACCTCACCAAACAGTTGATAAGTCTGAGAGCTATTGTTTTTGGCTGCCTGCAGTCCAGGAAAGAAAACACTGTATGATAGCACACTTGGTTCTTGTCTGGAAGGATTTCTTTATCCCCTTTTATGATTAGAAACTGTTAAAACAAATGCTTAGTTTATGGAGCACAGTTCTGCAAGTGATGAAATGCATAGCAAATTCCCCTTCCACGCAATACCTGGGCCTAAACCAGGGATCCTATACTGAACCATTTTAGGATCTATGCCAGTGGTTCTCAACGTTTTTAGACTCAAGACCCCTTACCCAACTCAAAGTACTGCTCAGAAAATGCCAGCTCTTAGCTTTCACTCATTTTTTTGACTACAGATAGATAGTGAATCAATTCTTCTGTTGCAAAGAACTCAGAAAGACCACAACTGGTCAGAAGGTTTTTGAGATTCTGGATTCCTATTTGAAATATCTGGATTTATCTTGTGAATCATATGTAAGTGTTTCCACAGCTAACAGTGGTAATAGTACATGGTATCCTGTGGCACCCTGAAACGGATCTCACAATACCCTCGTTGAGAATCTAAGGTCTATTCTAAGTCTCATTGCCATCGTTAAGTATTTCTGGTTTCAGCATGCAGATAAACCTGAAGCTCATTAGATTTTGAGTTTAGCAAACCACTGTAGGGAATAGCTTCCAGAAATGTGGGACCATCTTTTTTAGTTAGTTTGTAAGGTGCAAATCTACTCTGCCTTCTGCCTGACAACTTTTTGCCATCAGCATCTAAGACCTTAACCCATCATGAGATTCCCAGTTCCTGTAGTGAGAAATGTTTTGTTATGTTTCAGGTAACTTGTCCCAGACCATACATTATTTTTATTCTTATTACCAACTAGCACACAGGGACCCTAACAAATATTATAGCTCCATTATAGTAAGCACTGTTCTTACACACAGTCAGAAGCATTCCCTCTCCTAAAGGCCTTATAACTGGGTAGACAGACAGGGAAGAAGGGAGAAAAGCCGCACATGAAATTATATGGTTCACTCAACCTCAGACAGCAGGTCAGTGGCAACCCCGGCAAGCCACTGCATTCTTCATTACAGAAACTTCTGAGTACTTTCCAAAAGGCACAGATGCAGTGGGTGGCTCTAGGGCAGCCCAATGGTTATAAGTATGTGCATGGCAGAGGTAAGGTCTGGGTCATGGAGGAAAGTTTTGCAGATGTGAAAGAAAAGAAAAGAAGATGCAAGTTCATAACTTTCTTAAAAATTAGGCTAATATTCAGTATCTTGTTGAATCAATGCCTTTGTAACAGAAACTTGCCCCAACTATGAAGCCATCACACATCTGATGAGTCTATAGAGGACTGAAACAAAACAGCTGCCTTGAG